TTCTGGGAAGGCTTTCCACTAGATGTTGGAAACTTGCTGCGGGGACTTGCTTCCATTCAGCCACAAGAGCATTAGGGTACTGATGTTGGGCGATTAGGCCTGGCTCGCAGTCTGCGTTCCAATTCATTGCAAAGGTGTTCAATGGGGTTAAGATCAGGGCTCTGTGCAGGCCAGTCAAGTTCTTCCACACCGATCTCGACAAACCATTTCTGTATGGACCTCGCTTTGTGCACGGGGCATTGTCATGCTGAAACAGGAAAGGGCCTTCCCCAAAACTGTTGCCACAAAGTTGGAAGCACAGAATTGTCTAGAATGTCATTGTATGCTGTAGTGTTAAGATTTCCCTTCACTGGAACTAAGGGGCCTAGCCCGAACCATGAAAAACAGCCCCAGACCATTATTTATCCACCACCAAACTTTACAGTTGGCACTATGCATTGGGGCAAGTAGCGTTCTCCTGGCATCTGCCAAACCCAGATGGTGAAGCATGATTCATCACTCCAGAGAACGCGTTTCCACTGCTCCAAAGTCCAATGGCGTTGATCTTCACACCACTCCAGCCGACACTTGGCATTGCTCATGGTGATCTTAGGCTTGTGTGCAGCTGCGCGGCCATGGAAACCCATTTCATGAAGCTCCCAACAAAGTTATCGTGCTGACGTTGCTTCCAGAGGTAGTTTGGAACTCGGTAGTGAGTGTTGCAACCGAGGACAGACAAATCCACTAATTTGAAGTGGTTTCCACATACTTTTGTATATAAAGTGTATGTATATAATGGTGTGTATAGAAAGTATGGACAGCATATGAATAGAAAAGGTGTGTACAACAGTAGTTATATAGAATGAGCCTTGACTAGAATACAGTATATACGTATGAAGTGGGCAAAACAGTCAACATTATTAAAGTGACCAGTGTTCAATGACTATGTAAACAGGGCAGCAGTCTCTAAGGTGCAGGGTAGAGTACCGGCTAGTAACAGTGACTAAGGTTCAGGGTAGGGTACTGGGCAAGACCGGCTAGTGGTGACTACGAGATAGAAGCTGTTTTTCAGTCTCTCTGTTACAGCTTTGATACACCTGTACTGTCTCCACCTTCTAAATGGTAGCGGGGTGAACAGGCCATGGCTCCAGTGGCTGAGGTCCTTGATGATCTTCTTTGCCTTCCTGTGACACCTGGTAATGTAGATGTCCTGGAGGGCAGGCAGTGTGCCCCCGGTGATGACCCCCTCTAGAGAGCTCTGCGGTTGCGGATGGTACAATTGCCGTACCGGGCGGTGATACAGCTCCGACAGGACACTCTCAATGGTGCATCTGTAGAAGTTTGTGGGGGTCTTGGGGGCCAAATTACTTCAGCCTCCTGAGGTTGATAAGGCACTGTTGCGCCTTGTTCACCACACTGTCTGTGTGAAGGGACAATTTCAGGTTGTCAGTGATGTGCACACCGAGGAACTTGAAGCTTTTCACACTCTCCACTGCGTCCCCGTCAATGTTGATGGGGGCGTGCTCTCTCTGCTGTCTCCTGAAGTCCACGATCAGCTCCTTAGTTTTGTTGACGTTGAGAGAGAGGTTATTTTCCTAGCAACACTCTGCCAGGGCCCTCACCTTCTCCCTGTACGCTGTCTCATCGTTGTTGATAAACAGGCTGTGTGTCGTCAGTAGTCATTGGTGAACAGGGAGTACAGGAGGGGGCTTTGAACGCACCCTTGTGGGGCCCCCGTGTTGAGGAACAGCGTGGAGGAGGTGTTGTTGGCTACCTTCACCACCTGGGATCGGCCCGTCAGGAAATCCAGGATCCAGTTCCACAGTGCGGAGTTCAGACCCAAAGCCCCGAGCTTAGTGATGAGCTTGGAGGGCATTATGGTGTTGAAGGCTGAAATGTAGTCGAACAGCATTCTTACATAGGTATTCTGCTTGTCCAGATGGGATAGGGCAGTATGCAGTGCAATGACGATTGCGTCATCCGTGGATCTGTTGGGGCGGTATGCAAATTGTAATGGGGCTAGGGTGTCATGTAAGGTGGAGGTGAAATGATCTTTAACTAGCCTCTCTAAGCACTTCATGATGACAGAAGTGAGTGCTACGGGGCAATAGTCATTTAGTCCAGTTACCTTCGCTTTCTTGGGCACAGGAAAAATGGTGGACATCTTGAAGCAAGTGGGGACAACGGGACTGGGATAGGGAGAGATTGAATATGTCCGTAAACACTCCAGCCAGCTGGTCCCATATGCTTAGGACTCGGCTTGGGATGCCGTCTGGGCCAGCTGCCTTGCGACGGTTAACACGCTTAAATGTCTTACTCACGTCGGCCACGGAGAATGAGAGCTCACAGCCCTCACGTCAGCGGCTCTGTGTTGTCCCTGTACTGCTGTTTTACCTCTTTGATTGCCTTACGGTGTTAATAGCTGGTCTGTTTGTTCCCAGTCACCTTGCCATGGTTAAATGCGCTGGTTCGCTCTTTCAGTTTTGCATGAATGCTGCCATATATCCACGGTTATTTGTTTAGATAAGTTCTAATCGTCACAGTGGGAACAACACCCTCTATGCACTTCCTGATGAACTCAGTCACCATGTCAGTGTATACATCAATACTATTCTCAGAGGCAACCCTTAACATTTCCCAGTTCGCGTGATCAAAACAATCTTGAAGCATAGATTTCGATTGGTCAGACCAATGATGAACAGTGCTTACCACGGGTCATTTCGGTTAAAATTTCTTCCTATAGGATGGGGAGGAGCAAAATGTAGATGTGATCTGATTTGCCAAAGGGAGTGCGGGGAGGGCCTAGTAGCCATCCCGAAAGGGGGAGTAGCAATGGTCACGAGTGCTCGATGCGGCAGTAGCACAGGAGATGTGTTGATAGAAATTCGGTAGCATTTTACTCAGATTTCCTTTATTAAAGTCCCCAGCTACAATAAATGCGGCCTCAGAATATGTGATTTCCAGTGAAATTTCTTGAGAGCCATCGCGGTGTCGGCTTGGGGGAGAATATACACGGCATTGACAATGACCGAAGAAAGATATCTCGGGAGGTAATGCGGTCGGCATTTGATGGTGAGTTATTCCAGATTGTGGAACTCAAGTCCTTTTGTTTTCCAAATCACACCATGAGTAGTTAATCATGAAACATACACCTGCACCTTTCTTTTTCCCAGAGAGTTCTTTCTTCCCGTCCGCGAGATGGACAGAGAACCCCGCTGGCTTAATATGTAATTAATTTTGGTGATCTATCCTTTTAAAATAGGACCGTAGAAAATCCTGCCTAAAAGTAGTTCTCCAAGACGGTTGGCCGCCCACCCCTGATCTATGTTTCCCAAATACTGGCTGTTTGAATATGTTCACGTGACAAATTACTCCACATAAATAAAAAAAATCTAATGAATATCAATCTTCAGGTGGTTGAGGCTGATTTGCAAAATCTTTTGCATTTATGTCTACCGTTTCTGCCTTGCAGCTTGTGCACAATACTAAAATGACTAAACTGGACTAAACTCAGATTTCAAATAGCCTAATTACACTAGCAAAATTGGTAAGAAGTAAAATAAAAGAAGTATGGGGAATAACAGTAGTGTTCTTGCTGAGATAAGCACACTAATTATTCTATATTTTAGCCCATTGTAGGGGATTGGAATTGTGAAAGACAAAATAAATTAAACCGATAATAAAATCTCCTGAAGACAAGATGACATAGCCTAAATCTGCCCCTACACCCAACCCAAATTATCTTTCAATGTATTGTCCTCCCACTAGAATCAGTTACACATTTGGGTTCACAATCTGTTTGGGAAAAATAATGTTCATAATACAGTTATCAGGTCACCCTACCAAAATTAATGCTGAATGCTGCCTTTTCATTGTTACAGCCTAATGAACCTAATGCTAGATCGCCAATGACCAAATGAGGTGAATAATGTATAGCCTATGGATCTGGGCTAATGCAAGTGGTGGATTAAATCACTAGTAGTAGGCTATATTATCACATGCAGTCATAAGGAAGCATTATGCGACAGGGAAAGGAGTGACAGCAAATTCATTTGTTTACAATAATGTGTACAAAACAGTGCTACAAGTTGCCGTGCTGCTCTTTTGACAATTGAGTTCATAAACTTTGATCAGCGCAAAGAACGATTCGTGAGGGGCGTTTCATTACAAACGCTCATCCAATCGCCTTGGTCCCGTGCCCTTACTAAACCAATCACACGCTTCAATCTGCTGTGGTTCACAGTGCGATGGCAGGAACATTATGGATCTCCCTGGTTAAGCTGCCTCAGTTACAATGCTCGCGATGTAGAATAGCAGGCACATATGCTCCGATTTCAAAACGATTTGGAGGCACAGTTGAAAAGTTAACGCATTGAATATACACTGGATTAATTAGAAAATAAAAGCGCTACATTTTTCAGCGCGTGAAAAATAAGAGGTGTGGCATGTGAGCGTGTGAAGTGCTTCAAATGCGTGTCTCACACTCATTGCTTGAGAGTTGGCAGCACTGATAAAATACTATTAATTTCGGTGGTGGAGTCCTGCTTGGTGGAGAATCTCTAAATTGAGAATGTGCTGGCGGATTGATAGTGAATTGATTGGGTTAGATTGCAGTAGCAATCTTCAGGCTGATATCCATTGCTCTTAACAATCATTTACATTTTAGTCATTTAGCAGACGCTCTTATCCAGAGCGATTTACAGTTAGTGTGTGCATACATTTTTCATACAATCAGAGACATTAAACACAGTATTCTTTACTTTGTAGTAAAAAATCTGGAATCTGTGTGGTGACTTGAAATGTATATCAGTACTGCAGTGCTCAGAGACTTGAAAGCTAATATTTAAACATATACAGACTGTAGCAGATAAGCTGACACATGCACAGTGAGAGGATGCTTGAGTATACAAAATGTATTGATTGGATAGCACGTCAGTGTTATACTGAAACACACAATGCTTGCAACGTACACTTGGGTGAACGTGCGCACACAACCTGCCCACCCACCCACGTCTCCATACCTTGAGTTTCTGGATCTTGCCGGCCAGGGAGGAGTGGGTGCCCACATGCTGGAAGAGTGAGGGCTTGAAGCGAATCCTCAGGTTGGCCTTCTGTCTGTCGCAGTGTTTCTGTGTTTGTGACAGACGGGAGAGTTGAGAAAGAAAGAGTAGGAGGGAAAGAGAGTATGAGTGTGTGGGAGACTGAGACCATTTTGGCAAGAGCAATTGAAAGGCATAGTATTTATACACTACATGGCCAAAAGTATGTGTATACCCCTTCAAATGAGTGGATTCAGCTTTTTCAGCCACACCCGTTGCTAACAGTTGTATAAAATCGAGCACACAGCCATGCTATCTCCATAGAGAAACATTAGCAGTAGAATGGCCTTAATGAAGAGCTCAGTGACATTCAACGTGGCACCGTCATAGGATGCCATCTTTTGAACAAGTCAGTACGTCAAATTTCTGCCCTGCTAGAGCTTCCCCGGTCAACTGTAAGTGCTGTTATTGTGAAGTGGAAACGTCTAGGAGCAACAACGGCTCAGCCGCGAAGTTGTAGGCCACACAAGCTCACAGAACGAGACCGCTGAAGTGCGTAGCGCGTAAAAATTGTCTGTCCTCGGTTGCAACACTCACTACCGAGTTCCAAACTGCCTCTGGAAGCAACGTCAGCACAATAACTGTTCGTTGGGAGCGTCATGAAATGGGTTTCCATGGCCGAGCAGCTGCACACAAGCCTAAGATCACCATGCGCAATGCCAAGTGTCGGCTCGAGTAGTGTAAAGCTTGCCACCATTGAACTCTGGAGCAGTGGAAACGCGTTCTCTGGAGTGAAGAATCACGCTTCACCATCTGGCAGTCGATGGACGAATCTGGGTTTGGCGGATGCCAGGAGAACGCTACCTGCCCCAATGCATAGTGCCAACTGTAAAGTTTGGTGGAGGAGGAATAATGGTCTGGGGCAATTTTTCATGGTTCTGGCTAGGCCCCTTACTTCCAGTGAAGGGAAATCTTAACACTACAGCATACAATGACATTCTAGATGATTCTGTGCTTCCAACTTTGTTGCAACAGTTTGGGGAAGGCCCTTTCCTGTTTCAGCATGACAATGCCCCCGTGCACAAAGCGAGGTCCATTCAGAAATGGTTTGTCGAGATCGGTGTGGAAGAACTTGACTGGCCTGCACAAAGCCCTGACCTCAACCCCATCGAACATCTTTGGGATTAATTGGAATGCCGACTGCGAGCCAGGCCTAATCGCCCAACATCAGTGCCCGACCTCACTAATGCTCTTGTGGCTGAATGGAAGCAAGTCCCCACAGCAAGTTTCCAACATCTAGTGGAAAGCCTTCCCAGAAGAGTGGAGGCTGTTATAGCAGCAGGGGAGACCATCTCCATATGAATGCCCATAATTTTGGAATGAGATGTTCGACATCCACATACTTTGGGCCATGTAGTGTATGTACAGGTAACTGCCAAAATAAAGGAAACACCAACATAAAGTGTCTTAATAGGAAGTTGGGCAACCACGAGCCACCAGAACAGCTTCAATGCACCGTGGCACAGATTCTATAAGTGTTTGGAACTCTGTTGGAGGGATGCGAACACCATTCTTCCATGAGAAATTCTATAATTTGGTGTTTTGTTGATGGTGGTGGAAAACGCTGTGTCAGGCACTCCTCAGAATCCCCTATAAGTGTTCAATTGGGTTGAGATCTGGTGAAACACACACACCCTTAAATCCCCTATGCTCCTTTGAGAACCCTCTTTTAAATTCACTGAGATAACTTCTTTTAGCCATGGTAGCCATAATATTGGCGAAATGGGCATTTTTATACATGACCGTAACCATGATGGGATGTTAATTGCTTAATTAACTCAGGGACCCCATCTGTGTGGAAGCACCTATTTTCAATATACTCTGGTTGCGTTTACACAGGCTGCCCAATTCTGATATTGTTTTCACTAATTGGTCTTTTGACCAATCAGAACAGCTCTGAAAAAGATCTGATGTGAAAAGATCTGATGTGATTGGTCAAAAGACCAATTAGTGGAAAAAAATATCAGAATTGGGCTGCCTGTGTCAATGCAGCCTATGTATCCCTCATTTACTCAAGTGTTTCCTTTATTTTTGCAGTAACCTGTAGCTCCCTGCTTGGATAATGTGTAATACATCCTTCTTTCCTCCTTCCCTTGAAGTAATCACTGATCTAACATGACTGCATCCAAAGGAAAACTTGTTTTAGGACAGTGGTTACCACACGGAATTAATGAAAGGTGTACTTAGAACTGGGCCTAGGTTTACCATGGGGGTGGGGTGAACTTACCGCGTCCTTCTCTGGGTTGCACACCTTGACCCACATTATGTGGTCCAGCAGCCAGTCAATGGGCTTGTCCTTGTAGAACATTAGCATAAACTCCACAATCAGCGACAGGTCCAGGGACTTGAACATTTTACCTGAGGAGAGAGGATATACAACTCAATTACAACGCATGACATCATCAAATAGCGCCAAAGGTTGTTCAGGTAGTACCTTGTCTGTTTCAAAATGTTTCATCATATCTTGAGCCTATGGAACACTACTTGGGTTCCCAATTCCAAAATGTTCCTTAGCTACTATCCCCTGGCCCTTTGTGAAGATGTGAAGGGATTGGACAGGTTTTAGAAACATGGTTGTAACTACCTTGCCCTCTGATAGGCTAAGTGGGAAATGATATCCTTTCAGAGTTATTAGAACTGCTTAGGGGGTTGATTTGAAATTGGGTAAAAGGGAAGTAGAAAATAGAGTGTAGCAAGATACAACGACCTAGAACGGAGGCTAAACTTAGCCGGTGCGACTGAAATTAAATCTGAATGACATAGAATTGCACACGGACCCTTGAGCGCTGAATAACATGTAATATAATGTAATTGTCAGATTAATACTGATTAATACATTGGAGTCAATTTCACAAAGTGGGTTACAAGAACAAATATTTTTGGGTCAAAACAAGGCCGCTTGCGGTCTGGAATGAGATTATTTTACAGCCGTTTAATTGTAATGCTTTGAAGCACTTTCCACCACAATGTTTTAACAGCTAGTCATCACAAAGACAGAAGATTTTAATTTAACCAATTACAAGAACATAAATATCTTATTTTTCCTGGTGTGTAAGAACATGATGTATGTATGATCTTGTAAAATACAAACTCAGCCACCCATGCATGCACACAATGAAGTAAAAACGTGACAATGGGAACCTCTGTTCAGACTGAACACAGATCTCTCAACTCAGACCCATCTCCTTCATCTCTCTCTTCCTTGCCTATTACAACACAACAGAAGAGTACTCCCTCTCCCCCAAACTCTTCTTCATACCTTCTCACCTCTCTCCGTTCATTAAAACACTTTTCTCATCTCGCTCCTCTCCCCCACCCATCTCTCTCGTTACACCATCTACAGAGGTAAACACTCTTTCCTTGGCTGAGCTGTAGCATTCATCGTTATTCTTCCTCCATCCTCCCCTCAAACATGTAAAAGTATGAAAATGTATACACTCACTACTGTAACTCGCTCTGGATAAGAGCATCTGCTAAATATATTATTGTGAGGGGTACGATGCCACAGCACTAAGGGTTTATGAGAGAGAGAGAGAGAGAGAGAGAGAGAGAGAGAGAGAGAGAGAGAGAGAGAGAGAGAGAGAGAGAGAGAGAGAGAGAGAGAGAGAGAGAGAGAGAGAGAGAGAGAGAGAGAGAGAGGGGTAGTGCACTCGAGTGAAGGAAGGAGTTACAACTCATTAGAATCCCACAGAGAGGGAGAGAGAGAGAGGTGTGGAAGGAAGGGAGGCGAGGCAGAAAGAGGAGGAGGGAGAGAGAGATGGGTAGAAACCAAGCGAGAGAAAGGGCGAGAGGGAGAGAGAGACGGGTAGAAACCAAGGGAGAGAAAGGGCGAGAGGGAGAGAGAGATGGATAGAAACCAAAGGAGAGAAACGGAGAGAGGGTGAGAGGTTGAGCACTCGCATAAGGGAAGGAGGTATGCTATTAAACAACTCATTATAGACCTCACTGAAAGGGGGAGGGAGAGAGAGGGGTGAGAGCGGGGATGGTTGGGGTAGAGAGTAAAAGGGTAAAAGGTCAGGGCTCACGTAAGGGAAGGAGGTATGCTATCTAACAACTCATTAGAAATCCCACTGAGAAACGGAGGAAAGGATGGAGAGAGAGAGAGGAATAGAAAGAGGGGATGAGTGGGAGGAGGGAGAGAGAGATGGGTAGAGACAGGGGGAGAGAGAGGGTGATAGGTCAGGTGGTCACGTGAGTGATGTGAGCACCTGTGAGCTCTGTCTTTCATTCTCCCACACTCTTTTTCTCTCACCCATCCACACACACGCAAATGTTGCCATCAGGTGGTGGATAGACATTCTGCTGTGTGTGTGTTTAACATTTAACCTTGACCATTGTCTTATAAGACAGCATTCACAGGCCATTTTGTACAACTCAGCTATGTTATGGTGTGTACCTATAGAGGTTATTAACAGGTGTGTGTGTGTGTGTGTGTGTGTGTGTGTGTGTGTGTGTGTGTGTGTGTGTGTGTGCATGTTCCTGGGTATACAGTGAGGGAAAAAAGTAATTGATCCCCTGCTGATTTTGTACGTTTGCCCACTGACAAAGAAATGATCAGTCTATAATTTTAATAGTAGGTTTATTTGAACAGTGAGAGACAGAATAACAACAAAAAAATCCAGAAAGTCGCATGTCAAAAATGTTATAAATTGATTTGCATTTTAATGAGGGAAATAAGTATTTGACCCCCTCTCAATCAGAAAGATTTCTGGCTCCCAGGTGTCTTTTAAACAGGTAACGAGCTGAGATTAGGAGCACACTCTTAAAGGCAGTGCTCCTAATCTCAGTTTGTTACCTGTATAAAAGACACCTGTCCACAGAAGCAATCAATAAATCAGATTCCAAACTCTCCACCATGGCCAAGACCAAAGAGCTCTCCAAGGATGTCAGGGATAAGATTGTAGACCTACACAAGGCTGGAATGGGCTACAAGACCATCACCAAGCAGCCTGGTGAGAAGGTGACAACAGTTGGTGTGATTATTCGCAAATGGAAGAAACACAAAAGAACTGTCAATCTCGCTTGGCCTGGGGCTCCATGCAAGATCTCACCTCGTGGAGTTGCAATGATCATGAGAACGGTGAGGAATCAGCCCAGAACTACACGGGAGGATCTTGTCAAAGATCTCAAGCCAGCTGGGACCATAGTCACCAAGAAAACAAATTGTTAACACACTACGCCGTGAAGGACTTAAATCCTGCAGCGCCCGCAAGGTCCCCCTGCTCAAGAAAGCCGTCTGAAGTTTGCCAATGAACATCTGAATGATTCAGAGGAGAACTGGATGAAAGTGTTGTGGTCAGATGAGACCAAAATCGAGCTCTTTGGCATCAACTCAACTCGCCGTGTTTGGAGGAGGAGGAATGCTGCCTATGACTCCAAGAACACCATCCCCACCGTCAAACATGGAGGTGGAAACATTATGCTTTGGGGGTGTTTTTCTGCTAAGGGGACAGGACAACTTCACCGCATCAAAGGGACGATGGACGGGGCCATGTACTGTCAAATCTTGGGTGAGAACCTCCTTCCCTCAGCCAGGGCATTGAAAATGGGTTGTGGATGGGTATTCCAGCATGACAATGACCCAAAACACACGGCCAAGGCAACAAAGGAGTGGCTCAAGAAGAAGCACATTAAGGTCCTGGAGTGGCCTAGCCAGTCTCCAGACCTTAATCCCATAGAAAATCTGTGGATGGAGCTGAAGGGTCGAGTTGCCAAACGTCAGCATCGAAACCTTAATGACTTGGAGAAGTTCTGCAAAGAGGAGTGGAACAAAATGCCTCCTGAGATGTGTGCAAACATGGTGGCCAACTACAAGAAACGTCTGACCTCTGAGATTGCCAACAAGGGTTTTGCCACCAAGTACTAAGTCATGTTTTGCAGAGGGGTCAAATACTTATTTCCCTCATTAAAATGCAAATCAATTCATAACATTTTTGACACGCTTTTTTCTGGATTTTTTTTTTGTTATTCTGTCTCTCACTGTTCAAATAAACCTACCATTAAAATTATAGACTGATCATGTCTTTGTCAGTGGGCAAACGTACAAAATCAGCAGGGGATCAAATACTTTTTTTCCTCACTGTATGCATAATAGAGTGTGCTGTGATTGTTGCCTCTAATGCGTCATTCTGCTTTCATCAGGCAGGTGTGTGACCTCCTGAGTCACTGACACGCACAGAAAGATCTGATTGATCTGAGATCAGTTTGACCCAGTGACTCACTGAGACTGATTCTACTGACTGATCTAGTGACTGTTCTCAGAACAGGGCAGAGGGTAGCTAACCAATTAAATAATTTCATCACAATGACCTATGTCACCTGGGGGGAATGACATAACCTAAGTGATGAAAGCATTAAAAGGTCTATGCGTATGCACACATGCATTCGGGAATAACTTCTATAGGTACACACCATAACTTCAATGCTGAGTTGTACAAAATGGCCTGTGAATCTCTTATAAGACAGTGCTCAAGGTTAAATGTTAAAAGCGTAACATTCCATTTCCATATGTATTTTATAGAGAGCCATTTAACTATCTTTCCTCTTGGGGATTTCCCGTAGCCACGAGGATAGTAATAAAATAACGCACATACAACAGTCTCGACAGTGAAACGTCCAGCCCCAGTCAATGATACAGTGGAATTGAAGCCAACATTGTAGAAAATTGAAAAAGTCCCCACAAGGATAGTAAAACAAGGAAAATTCTCCCTCGTGGGGACATTTCCCACATCCCCACGAGGACAAAGGCTATTTTAAGCTTAGGAGTTAGGTTTAGGAGTTACATGCTGACCACACCGCTTGCATTGCGTGCGCAAGCATTGCAAAATAAATGTACACATAGATGTTATTCAATCATTTCATCTAAACTGCTCGTGCATGTCAACGAGCGTCTGCGTAGCCAGGCGCTAAAATAGAACTTGGTTCTATTTTTGACGCTTGGCGCGCTGCAAGTCCCACCTCTCCCATCTCCTCATTGGTTTTTAGCAGCATACAGTGCAGTCGGAAAGTATTCAGACCCCTTGACTTTTTCCACATTTTGTTACGTTACAGCCTTATTCTAAAATTGATTAAATTGTTTTTTTTCCCTCATCAATCTACACACAATACCCCATTATGACAAAGCAAAAACAGGTTTTTAGAAATGTTTGCAAATGTATTAAAAATAAAAAAGAGAAATAATACATTTACACTAGTCTCCCAGTCCCTGCCGCTGAAAAACATCCCCACAGCATGATGCTGCCACCACCATGCTTCACCGTACGGATGGTGCCAGGTTTCCTCCAGACGTGACGCTTAGCATTCAGGCCAAAGAGTTCAATCTTGGTTTCATCAGACCAGATAATCTTGTTTCTCATGGTCTGAGAGTCCTTTAGGTGCCTTTTGGCAAATTCCAAGCGGGCTATCATGTGGCTTTTACTGAGGAATGTCTTCCATCTGGCCACTCTACCATTAAGGCCTGAT